TAAGATTTATTTATGCATACAAGAGCTGGGGTACAGGCCAGAGGTGCAGGGTGTGAGAGGATTCACCAGAGACAGAGTAGGGAGCAAAACAGGCAGATGTAATGAAACACATTACTGAGGGGAGCAGCAGGCAGGATAGGAAAGGTCTGCCACACCATGTGGGTCATCTCTCTGCGGGGTATTGAACACTTGACATGCTGCAGTGGCTACAGATAGCTTCATAGTGCTGTTTTAACTCGTTGTGTCACCAGGGAGGGCCCTGAATATTTTATATTTTATAGATATATTTATTCTTAGGAGTATTAGAAAAATATAATCTGTTAAATCTCTGATTTAACAGAAATAATGAAGCTAGGTAAAACAGCAAGCAAATAATACATGAAAATAATTGTGTAGCTAATCCATAGAATTTAGGAAACGTTTGATTTAGAAATCCTTGTCTAATACTACATTTGCTTTGTGGTTCCCTTTTATAGTCTAATAAATATTGTACAGTCAGAGAACCTGGGGATTTGTATTTTATTTATTTTAAAAGATTTATTTATGCACACAGAACTGGGGTACATGCCAGAGGCATGGAGGGTGAGAGGCAGAGTGGGGAGCAGAACAGGCAGATGAACTGGAAAACACTGCTAAGGGGAGCAGCGGGTAGGTCAGGAGAGGTCTACCAAGCCATGTGGGTCAGCTCCCTTTCCAGGGATCAAATTCATGCTGGATGTGATAGTTCATAGTGCTGTGCTTTAACCTGCTGCACTACCAGGGAGGGCTTGGGATTTGTATTTTATATATTTTTACCTGTTTTTCAGAATAGCAGTTTTAAACACACAGACTCCCAAATTTGTATTCAGAACCTTAATATGTAAATCAGAGAGCCTCACTTCTTTAAGAGACAGAGTTCTCAATGCCCTCCCCCACCCCATTTTATGACTTTTTGCCTTTTACCTCTCCCTGTCATTTTTTTTTTTTTTTTAAAGATTTATTTATTTATTTGTGCATACAGAACTGGGGTACAGGCCAGAGACTCAGGGGCGGTGAGAGGCTTCACCAGAGACAGAGTGGGGAGCAGAACAGGCAGATCTACGAAGTACACTGCTGAGGGAAGCAGCGGGCAGGCCAGGAGAGGTCTGGCTCGCCATGTGGTCTTCTCCGGGGCAGGCGGCAGGCGGGAATCGAACTCATGCGGAAGTGGCTTCAGATTCTCAGTGCTGTGCTTTAACCCGCTGCGCCACCAGGGAGGGCCTCTCCCTGTCATTTTTAAGGAAATATAAACTAAGAGCAGCTCTAAGTAATTGTGTTAAAATAGTATAGCTGGTCTTACTTAACAAAGATTTGGCAAAGAATTATTTTTGTAGTTGAATGTTTGTTTCTCTGTTAAATCATTTAACCTGCAGGTGCTAGCTTGTTTTGGAATGCAGCAGGTGATGATCAAGAGCCTGAACCTCAGCTGAAACAAGATGATACCAAGATTTCCAGTGAGGACATGAATTTTTCTGTTCATATTAATAATGAAGTCACAAGTCTTCCAGGTAGTGCATCTTCATTAAAAGCAGTTGATATTCCCAGTTTTGAAGAGAGCAACATTGCTGTAGAAGAAGAATTTAATCAGCCACTTTCCGTGTCCAAGTAAGGTTTCCTTGATTCAATATCTTCTCTACTTCTTTTTTTCTTTTTAAATTCTAATATTTTTTTGATGTTCTGACTAATGTTATTACAAACAAATGATACAACCACATGAAGGAATGGGGGAGGAAAGAACTTAAATAATTGGTGAGGGAAAATTTTTCATGGGATATTATGAGGCTAAAGATAAAATTGTAAACAAATATACTCCAGTAAATCTTATCTTAAAGTGCTTAATGTACACAGTAGTGTTGTACAAGTATAGTATACATAAAATGAGAATTTTCTAACACCTGGTGAAATAAATTAAAAGGGGGTATGAAGTTGGATACAGAGGACTGATATGATATACAGAGAAGTAAATATAGATGTAGGAGTTAGTATATATATATATATATATATATATATACACACACATACCTCTAGCTGAGAGGCAGGGGCAGAGGCCCAGATGCAAGGAAGCTAAGAGTATACCCAGTACCCAGATCTTGGTTTCTAAATACTGTTCTCTGATACGACTGCTGCTGGTGTCTGTCTAGCTGGGACAGGGAAAATAGAAGATGAACATGGAACATCTTACGCTGCCAGAAAATAAGAACATGCTCTCTGGGCTTTCTCAGGAGAAACATGGCAATCTGAATGAGCTCCCGGTGGGCCAAAACAAACAATTTGAGAAGCAAAATAAATAATGATAGTACTTGAGAAGATATTTGCAGAGCCTCTAAGTATCTCCCACAAAGTATTTAAGTGCAAAGGGAAAAATATAACTTTACAGTGAAGAAAAATGGCAGATATCACCTTACCCCAGTGATCAAGATTAACAAAATAAATGACCCATTGATACGGTGCTTTGAGAAGTTCAGATCACCACTTCTGTGACATTCTTGCAAAAATTCCCAAGTTGATCATGAGGAAGTATCAGACAAATTCACATTAGGTAACAGCCTACCAAATAGCTGACTAGTGCTTGGCAAATGTGTCAAGATCATGAAAGATAAGGAAAAAACTGGTCTGTCATAGATTGGATTAAGGAGATATAACTACAAAGTGGGACATTACTGAAAAAGCTTGTATAAACTGAAAAAACTTGAAAAAACTTGTATAACAAACTGGGATTTGCAGGTTAGTATGTTCTACTGATATTAATTTCCTGGCTTTAATATTTTTATTATGGTTATATAAGGTGTTAACATTAGGAAAAACTGGCCTGAATACTATTTCTTGAACTTTTCTGTTAAAAATTTCAAAGTTAAATGTTTCAAGCAAGATAGAGTTCTATATTAAGTTCCTTTTACTCAAGTAAAAGCAAAGAATTCAGAGATCCTAAAGAAGGAAAAAAGCAAAAATTGACATTGTGTGTGTTTATATACACACATATTAATAAACAATAAAGGCTATAAGTAGAGATTACTGTAATCGCCATTTGTATCTCAGACACAATGACATGTTGGTCTTAAAATAAGGAAGGAGCTCTTTAGGTTACCCTGAAGAGATCCATACCATTCCTTAACAGTGAAACTGAATTTAAAGCAGGAAAAATACAAGCAAATTTATCCTAACCTCAAAAGACCTGCAGGGAAATTACATTGTACAATTTGTTTTAGTGTTTACATTCGGTACATTAAATAGGTAGCAACTATTAAATGGTAGGCCTGTCTGGTAGCCAAGGGGGTAAGGCAAATAACTTTATTAGAAACGGGCAAAAGACATTTTTCTCCAATGATGATAAGACCAACAGGCAAATGAAAAGATGTCCAATTTAATTAATCATGAAAGAAACATAAATGTTAAACAATGAGATGTCACTTCACCCCCATTGGGATGACTACTATTTAAAAAAAAAAACAAACAGAAAATAACAATTGTTGGCAAGGATGTAGTTGAATCAGAACCCTTGTACAGTGTTGGTGGAAGTTTAACATGATGTTACCACCATAAAAAAAACAACAGTATAGGACTTCCAAAAAAAACTTTAATAGCACTACCATATGATTCTGGGTGTATATCCAAAGGACTTGAAAGTGGCCATCCCCACATGCATGTTCACAAGAGCGTTATTTATAATAACCTAACATTAAAGTAACTGAAATTCCTATTGATATATGTGTGGATAAAGTGTAACATATACATACAACAGAATATTATTCAGCCTTAGGAAGAAAATTTGGCCACATGCTACAGTGTGGATAAACTTGGACTTTATGCTAAGTAAAACAAAATACTCATGAAAAGATAACTATAAGATTGCACTTATACAAGTTATTAAAAAAGTCAAATTCATAAAAACAGAAAATTTATCTGAGGCAAATTTCTTAACCACTGGGCTCTGGTTTCCTCATCCATAAAATTGGAAAACCTACCTCTCTGGTTGAGAAAAATGAGATATGGTTAAAGGAGATATAAAGGACCTTGCTGAGTCTCTGGTGTACATGGGGAGTGATCCATAGTTGTTAGTTCTTTCCTGCTGCTTTCTCCTTGTCCCCCAAACATCAGATTGAACCTTTATCATCAAGCAACCTAGTGAATTCCACTTAGTGAAAACACCAAAACACAAATGTAGAGGCAGACATGTAGCTGTTAGATATTTTATAGCTTTGGTGAAATTACTTGTACCAAGGAGGAATTTTTATTATACAAATGATTATAAATTTTAAGAGTCTGTGTCAGTTACTATATTTGCATTATTCCACCTTTAATTTAGGTAACGATAATAGTCTTTACATAAGGCACTATTCTAAGTGCTTTTCATATATAAGTCTTCACAACTATCCTGTGAGCTAGGTACTTCAATTATCTCTACACGTGAGAAAACTGAGTCAGCCAGAAATTATGAGACCTGCTCATGTCGGACACATTGCTAAAATTCAATCCAGACAGTCTGGCATTAGAGCCCGTCCTGTAATCTGCCATGCTGCATTTTTAGGATCTTAAAAATATCTGTCTTGGTATCTAAGCAAGCAGAATCAAAAGCTTAAAAAGAAGAAAAGAGCCAAGACATTAAAGATTTCAAATGTTAAAAGATTTAAGTTTAAAACAAAAATTTAAATATTGACTCTAATGTGGAATGTTATTACTAGGTATATTGAAACATGATTTCTAGAGAAAAATAAGGATTGTTTCATAGGAAGTCTCTATAAATACCACATATCATTATAATCACAAAAAGCAACCAGTTGCCAATCATGCTGTAAGGCAAGTAAATTTATCCTTCACAGGCTGTTGAGAGAGTACAGCCTTGGTGCCATGTGTGAGTACTTAGCAGTGGGAACCACAGCACGAGCCAGACCAGGTGTCCGCAAAGAATCCTAGAGAAGCACCAGAACTACCGAGGGCAATGCTAGAGATAGTCTTTTATCCAAATCAGTGTATTATGATGAACAAAGATTAGCATTACATCTAATTATGTGTTAGAATCAATAAAGCTGATTAATTGCCCTGAAAAAGCAATTAACTGTATTCTGTTGGTTAACTCAGATCTGCTTCTGAAGTTGAGAGATTTTCGAAGATTGACTTAAAAACTATTTCAGGAAAAATCCCTTAACTCTGGAAATACAGAAGTCAAAGATAAACCACAGTTTATTCCTCTGTGTTCTAAATATGTTTAATTATTCCTAATAAAGCATGGACTTATCTTGAGGCTCACCCAAATTGTTCCTCCAATCAGTGCCCATTTATGAAGTTGCTACACTTAACATGTTACTACCTGCAACTCTTCTCCAGATATTCATATGACTAAATCTTTTGGGTTTAGTTCTGGAACAGTAGTTACCAGAATATTTGCTGGATTTGTTTCCAGTTTGTAGAGGATCTACATTACTTTGGAATGGCCTCCCTGATGTCCGTGGGTCACCTTCTTGGCCGGTGTTTGAACTTGTGCTTCAGTGGCTGCTATAGCTTCATAGTGTTGTGCTTTAACCCATTATGCCACCAGGGTGCGTCCTTGTTAATAACAAAAATTTTCAAGCAGAAGCGAGAATAGTTTAGCAGACCACTATATATATAGTCAGTTTTAAAAATTATGTACACGTAGTCCATCTTATTGTAATTACATCCCTAGCCATTTCAGCTTCCACCAGGTTATTTTGCTAAGATATCATATATAAATATACAGGTGGATGTTACTGCACTTCAAATACATGTTAATACCTTGGTAACTAACACATACATTCCTTTCAGCAGCTCTTCTCCACTTGAAAGAAAAGAGCCTGATGTGCCTGTGTTCTTTCCGAATTCCCTGCTGGCAGAGAATGCAAGCATGTGTTTGCAGTGTGGACCAACAGAGGGCGCCAGTAACAACTCTGTAGCATCAGGGGAACCAAAAATTGAGCCAGTTATACAATCTTTGCCTCATCAACCATCAGATAATCAGAAAATATATCAAGATTTATTGGTAAGAAAATGTGAAGCATTTAAAGTTTTGTGAGATAATTATTTAGTATAGGGCATATCATTAAAATCTTTCTTAGCCTCAAATAGTGAGTACTTCGATAATAAAAGGATTTTTTTTTTAGATTTAAAGATACATATCATTTGTTTCATAAGACACGATAACCTAACTCAGCAGTTTTCTGTAAAATGCCAGACATCAGGTAGTTAGGTAACAGAACAAAAGCCCAATTTTAAAATATGTGTTGATATTGTACCAAATTAAAACTAAAGTTAGTCCAGAGAGAGTAAGCAAGATTTTACGGGGAGTTTGAAAATTCGAAAGTAGTGGAATATTATAATATTTACTGATTTCTGTTCAAATAAACAGGTTTTTATTGAATATACTTAGCTTACTCTAACAAAGAAAACTGAGTAAGGAAAGGAGAAAATGAAAAGATGCATATGGCAGTCTCTGCCTTGAGAGCCTGGGAGCTGCGTGGACCTAGTGACAGAGGAGATTCTGACTGGAGGGAAATAGCTTTTATGTCAGGAAGGCAGAATTAGGGTCACAGGGCATTCCCATTCCAACTACATAAATAAAGGAGTCAAATTCAAATAAAGTTCTATTTTGTGAATGAAACAACCATTTTAAAAATGGGGATTGTAAGAATATTTGAGATATTCTCAAGTATTTAAGTAAGAATACTTGAAAATATTCAGTATGATTTTAACTGTTGGCTTTAAAATGAAAGTTCTGAACAAAACAGTTTTGGATTCTCTAGAGTCTGGTGAAATAATTCATTAGGAAGGGTTCTTTTATAAAAATGCCATAATACTTGCAAATATATTTGTACTCTGTAGAGTAACATTCTAGGATGTTATTTTACATTTCCCTTGCTTTACTATTGCTATTATTTATACTTTTGTTTCCTAAGATTAAGAGTGATTTTTTAAAATCTGACCTTTTTCTTTTCATCAGGGTCAAGTGAATCACCTGTTAAATAACTCCTCCAAAAAAACTGAGCAACCATCTACTAAAGCAGTAATTATAAGCCATGAATGTACCAGAACTCAAAATGTCTACCATGCAAAGAAAAAAAAACATGATTCAGGCTTAGTGGACAAAGATTGTGTTCTTAATGCAACCCTTAAGCAACTACGAAACCTTGGAGTAAAAATTGATTCCCCCACTAAAGTGAAGAAAAATGCACATAAAGCAGATCATGCCAGGTAACTTCAAAATTTGTTTTAATAAATTTTAGATCTATTGCAGCAGTCTTTTTTGATATTACTGCCTTTAGACTTTAGTTTTAGGTAATGTTTGTCTTCATTAGGAACCACTGTATTTTAATGTCTTAGTATGAAATATTGCAGTTAATATCTTCAGTAATGAACTTGATTCATGTTTTGAATGCTTAGAATAAAATGCAAAGTAAAGCTTTTTTGATACTAGTGAAATTGTTTTAATCAAAATTATTCTGCTCAGACCTTAATAATTTATATTATTTATTAATTTATGCTCAGGGTTAGAATTTTAGAAAATGAAGATGTTTTTGGACTGATAACACCCAAAGAAATAAATTTTTTAGGAAACACAGTTTTACTGTCTGTATAATTTGGGCTTCTAAAAAACATGCTAGCATTTATGAAATGGGATTTTTCATTTACTATTATAGACTATTTTCTTAGAATGTTAGGCTGGCAGAAATTTTACAATAACATAGCTATATTTTTATATGAAGAAAACTTTTGAAAGTTTTATAACCTGGTATAAATTACATAAAATATTATAGAGCTCTAGAATTAGAATTAGATATTTCTTTTGTTCCCATTATCAAAGTAATATAAGCTTATTTTCAAAACTTCAGAAAATTTAGAAAAGTTGACCAAAAAATATGTTTGTACCAATCAAACCCACTAAATTTTGCTTTTCCTTTTGTTTTTTCTAAAGTATTAGTAGGAACCATTCATTGAATACTCAGAATGTGTCAGAAATTGTGCTAGAATTTTATGCAGTATTTTATTTAATTCTTGTGACTATGGTGTGTAGAAACTGTTTTTATTCCTGTTTTATGAATGAAGAAATTAAGTATCAGTGTGTTCAAGGCCACACACCTATGATTTTTAAACCTACTTTTTCTACTCCAAGGTCCATAGCTTTGGAATTTTTTTGTTGTTTGTATGTGTGTTTCACTGTTTTGTTCATCTGTTTAATTTTTTTCAGTGAGGTCTGATTATGGTTTATATTTTGCTGCTTTCTGTTGTATGTTTTGAACATGTTATATATGCCTTTCCCCCACCTCTGTCTGTAGAGGTTTTTTTGTTGTTGCTGTTGTTTTTAGGTTTTACATTGGGAAATAGGCATGTTTTTATAAGAATCATCTTTACTGGGAATATAATAACTGATGAAGCAGGACAGAATGGAAAGGATTTGTCTAGGTGGTTGCATTTTCTTGCTGGTTTTTTTTTTTTTTAAAGATTTGTTTATTTATGCATACAGAACTGGGGTACAGGCCAGAGATGCGGGGGCAGTGAGAGACTTCACCAGAGACAGAGTGGGGAGCATAACAGGAAGATCAATGAAGTACACTGCTGAGGGGAACAGCGGGCCGGTCAGGAGAGGTCTGCCATGCCATGTTCACCTCCAGGGCGGGGATTGAACTCATGCTGAAGTGGTTTTAGCTTCTTATTGCTGTGCTTTAACCCACTGGCACCACCAGTGAGCCCCTTTTCTTGCTGTTTTAAATATTGTTATGATGAACTTTTTTGCAGAACTGTAATTTTTAGTTTCAGGATTATTTCCTTAGAATAGAGTCTCAGAAATAGAGAAACTAAGTCAAAATGGGAAGAAAATTATAACGTTGCTACACTGCTTTCTGAAAGTTAAACTTCTCACTTCTACTGGATATATCTTTCACTATTTCAACAGCACTTTCATTCATTTTATTTAAATACATATGTATTGAACAACTACTCTGAACCAGCTATGAATACTGTCTTGGTATGCAACATAACCTGTTAAAAACATCTTTGCGGGCTCTTCCTGGTGGCGCAACAAGTTAAAACACCACATTATGAAGTTCTCAGAAGGCACTGCAGCACGAGTTTGATCCCCAGCCAGAGAGCTGACCCACATGGCATGGCAGAACTCTTCTGCCCAGCCTGCTGCTCCCCTCAGCAGTGTACTTTGTCAGTCTGCCTGTTGTACTCCCCACTCTGTCTCTGGTGAATCCTCTCACCCACCACACCTCTGGCCTGTACCCCAGTTCTGTAAGCATAAATCAGTAAATCTTTAAAAAAAAACTTTGCTTTCACAGAGTTTATAATTCAGTGGAGACATAAAGATCATTTATTTTTGTCAATTACAGTATATTCTTATACACCCTAAGACATGTATTGTGATGTATACATTAAGTGTAACTTAACAACACCAAAGCAAATAAACAGCAATTAATTAAATGATGCAGACAAACCCTCAAAAACAAAAATTGCCTTCTTAATGGGAAATTCCCTATATACGTTATTTACTAAGTAAGGAATAGATTTCAATATCCTTTATATAAATTGTGTATTAAAAAAAAGAAAAGGAAGGATATAATATGCTATAGAAGCCCATGATGAGGTATATAGCATCAGCAGTATTTTTAGTCTGTATTGTAATTACACTTTGTTAAAATTATCCTTTTAATGAACTGTGCTAGTTTAGATTTTTAAAAAATCTCAAATTGTTTATCATTTCTATTTTACTATTAGTTGGCACTGTGTGTTATTGTGATTAAAACTGTACTTGAAATTGTTGGATCGCTAACACATAAAAGTCGAATTTTGGCAGTAACCTTAACATCTTAAGCTTGGAGTACCCTTTCAGCCTGTCTGATCAGTTCACATCGCTGCATGGTGTGCTGTAAAGTCTTACCAAGCCCAGCGCAGCCACTGTTACAGTCGGAGGCTCTTTGCTGCTACTTTATCTGGGGTATTATTCCCTTTCACCAGTATCTTGCCAGAATCCTTCTTAACCTTCGAAACTGAACTTGAATGTCACTTTCTTGTCAAGATTTCCTGTACCCCGCACCAGAATATTGATACTTTGTATCAGAATGCCTTATTCCCAGTTATAGTATGTTCTTGTGGTAATCTTTCCAGAAAGACTTGAGTTTTATATGTCTCTGAATTCTTGTCTCTTGTCTCTTGATTGCACTTCATGCAGTTCAGGGAATCAGTTCCTGAACGGAGCAAATCCTACCTACTCAGGTGATCACTGACACTTAAAATAAATGCTTTATTTTTAGTACCTCTGTCTTATTGATAGTATTTACTCTTATCTTCTAATACACATGGGTATAAATGTAACTGAAATGCTAAAAGTTTGTAAAGCAGTTGCTCAGAATTTTAGACATGTTTTTCTGTAGATACAGTGTAGTGGATTGTAGCTTAGTTTTCTGAGGACCCTTATAACTCTTGTGGTCCCTCTAGTTCTTGTAAACCAGCTGTCCTTTGCCGTTGTGTCCCTGCAAAATATTTTGTGTTCTAGTTCTGGACTCTAGGAGTAGATCCTCCCACCAGGAGTTGAACGAATAGGAAGAAAATTTCCTTTCTGATTTCCTATTGCAGAATACTACAGAGATTAAGATGGCCTAAGGGCAATAAAGCAAGAAAAGGAAGGTCCCAGACACACCTAGAGACTTCAGGGGAAACAGTGATTGTGAGTTTATGGTCTGGCAGCAGCCTCCATAGGCATATTCTCAACAGGAGTGATCTTTTGGTTTCCAAACAGCTCATAGGCAGGCTTACCAGTTACTTCCTTGCTCTCTAATTATAGTAGATAAGTAGCAGATAACTAATGGAATTTGAGATAAATCAGGGTTGGTTTTCATCTTTAAGTAAATGGGAATAATTTTTCCCCAAAGATGTTTATCTATTTATGCATAAAGAGTTGGGGTATAGGCCAGAGGTGCAGGGGGTCACAACTCACTAGAGACAGTGGGGAGCAGAACAGGCAGATTGACCTAAGTGCACTGCTGAAGGGAGCGATGGATGGGTCAGAAGAGGTCTGCTGCACCACGGGGGTCGCCTCCCTAACTGGAGATCAAACTCATGCTGCAGTGGCCGTGGACAGCCTCATGGTGCTGCACTTCAACCCGTTGTGCCACCAGGGAGGGCCCAAATTGGAATAATTTTTGAGCTTTCCTTAGTTGCCAGCATATGACTCCTACCCTTGTAACTGGGTGCTCCCATCCTCTCAGGATTACCCAGCAAATGAGAGTCTAGTGGAGTTTATAGTGCTCATGGCTTTTAGGATTTGGTTAGTGAAATGGCCTCCTTTTGTTTTTCATCTTAGTGTCATGGCGTTTATATACATCTATTCTGAGTATTGATTTGTTTTCAATGCTATTTCCCCCATCCCTCAAATTAAAACCAGCTATGTAAGACAATGCAGCTTGAAGAACCTTCTCAACATATTGACTACTTCATGGATTTATAGAGATCCTGGGCCCTCCCTGTGGTGCAACGGGTTAGGACTCAGCACTGCAAGCTAGTTATGGGAGTTTGATCCATGGCGCAGCAGACCTCTACTGTCTTGCTGGCTGCTCCTCTCAGCATTGCACTTCGTCGATCTGCCTGTTCTGCTCCCTACTCTGTCTCTGGTGAAGCCTCTCACCACTCCTTCACCTCTGGTTTGTACCCCAGATCTGTATGCATAAATACATTTTTTTAAAAAGAATTAAATAAAAAAAGAGAGCTCCTTTGATCATTATGTAAAAGAAAACTTAATTCTAATTAGGTCTATTTTCTAAATATTTATCATTTTGAATTAGAAACTAATTAGCTTTTTCAAATTATCTACACTAATATTTTCTACAACTATTATATTTGTATTTTTAATCTGTTCAGGTTTTCTGATTTGATTGTAAATTGCTTATAATTTTGAGGAATGGGCAACTGAAGTAAAAAAAAAAAGACTACATTCAAAAGATAGAGTCAGTGCCAATGTATAATAAGAGAATAACGTCAACACATTAAGATAAACGGGTGGTACCTCTTCCATCATATCATGGTAGTCTGCAAAACATTACATGCATGAGGAAGGTTGAGGAGGAACTGCAAGGGCTGCTTAGAGATCTCCATTGCAGAGTGTGCTATTCCACTGTTCGGTGATGATACCGCTGGTTTCAGGGGCATTATGGTTGGAAATAGCTGCTGACAATTTAAGTTGCTTATGACAATGAAAATATTTGACAGGTATTTGGATTTTGTGTGTGGGTAGCACTGCAAGAGGTGGCTGGCACATGTAAGATGGCCAGATTTCTTCTTTTGATGTTGTGCCAAGTCATAGTATGCTGTTTACTAGACTAGTGTTTACCGTAACAGATAGTACACAAAGCACTCATTTTTAGGGAGCAGAAAAAATCTTAGCAGCAAAATGCTTTATACAGTATAATGAAACAGTATTTACAGAGCCACTTCATCTCAACTTGCCCATACTAGCTGTTTTTTCAACTATATTAGTAAAGGTAATAATAGTACCTACTTCTTTTATTCACTCAGTAAATATTTACTGAGTGCCTACTATGTGCAAGGTATTTCCACAGGCACCAAGGGAGTGAAAAAGACAAAATCCTCCCCTCATGGATGATCATGAGGAGCTAGATAGAAATGTGAGTTACATATGCAGATACTTGTAAGTACTTAGATGAAAACAGGGCAAGTGTGAGATGTTGGAATACGGAGCATGTTCCAGCTATTTGAAGGGAGCCTATCCTGAAAATCCTCTATGGGGATTAATAAGATAACAATGCTTAGCATAGTATCTGGCACATAGTAAGGCATCAGTAAAAATAAGTAGCTGTTAACTATGTATTTGATATAAAGTCTATTAATGTTAATGAGTTAATGTCAACGAAAGGAATTCAAGATTATATATTAGCAAATGAAAGAAAATTAATTAATGTATAATAACACAGTCTCTGTATATCCAGAGACCTGTTAATGTTTTTCATTCGTTATGGGTGGGATCTCTTCAATTATGAACAATTTAACATTCTGAGATACTCACCAAAGCTTGTAATGTTATATTATCAGGTATTTTCTGTTTGATTTTATGTTTAACTTTACCATTATTGAGTGGTGTGTACATTTTGGGGCCTTGTATTTGGTCTTAAAACCATGACTAATGTATAAATTCAGAAAAACTAATGTGTGTTCCTCTTTTGGTCTGTGAATCATATATTATCTTCTTGAATATATCTGAACCATCAAACTCTGATGAAAAGCACCCTGAAGGCCAAAGCGGAAGGCTTTTTGATCCTTGCACGAAATGGAACACACTGAGAATAACACTGTTTAGTTTCCAAACGAGACCAGTGACAGCCTGCTCTTTTGTGTCTTTCAGTGTATTGGCCTGCATCAGTCCTGAAGCAGTGATCTCTGGATTAAACTACATGTCATTTGCTAATGTTGGCGTGAGTGGCTTAAGCCCCAATGGTGTGGATTTGAGCATGGAAGCAAATGCGATAGCTCTGAAATATTTAAATGAAAATCAGCTGTCACAGCTGTCTCTGTCTAGGTCAAACCAAAATAACTGCGACTCATCTTTTAGCCTTTTTCATATTAATACAGACAGAAGCACAGTGGGGCTTAGTTTAATTTCACCAAACAACATGTCATTTGCAACCAAAAAATACATGAAGCGATATGGACTCATACAAAGCAGTGACAATAGTGAAGATGAAGAGGAGCCCCCAGACAATATGGAGAGCAAGAGTGAACATTTATTGAATCAGAACCTTACATCCATACCTGAACAACTTGGTCGTCAGAAAGAGCCTTCACGGAATGCCTGTGAAATAATTAGTTGCTATAACTGTGACTCCATGGGAACCTACACAGACATGCCAGTATTGAGAAATATTACAAATGAAGTTGTTCAGCCAAAAGCAATACAGCAGTTGGATGGAAACCCATCTTTCTTATTAAAGAACCTGAAACCAGGCCCTGCCGTAAATCTCCACACTGGAAAAGCAGAGTTTACCCCGCATCCTGAGAAAGAAAATGAGAGGGACATTCCTGTTTTCCCTGAAAGTTTGAGGCCTTCTGAAAGTTTAAAGCAAATGAATAGTATGAACTCAGTAGGCACTTTCCTAGATATAAAGCATCTCAGACAGTTGCCAAAATTATTTTAAATCTTTATTTAGCTCCCTGCCCTCCTGGTAGGAGGAGGGAAGGTCTCACGAAGATATTTGGGTAGTTTTGGGATTCCTAGTCATTCTAGGGGTCACCAATTTTGGCAAAAGCTGATTGCAATGACCTTAACAAGTGACCTGATGAGAAGTTTGGCCAGGGGGAGGGCTAAGTCCTCTCTGTTCAGTGTCACTGAAACGTTTTTTTAAAAACCAGTCCTGAGATCACTTATTTCAACAAATTCAGGTAAACTCTGATTCTGGACTATTTTATACTGTGCATTTGAAAAGTAAGCCTTTTTTCCCTAGTGTTTTGTGTCTGTGCATCTATTAAAAGAATGGGAAATAACATTATCATGACCCTGACTAAATTAGCTGAGTCAACCCTTATTGAACTTAAGGGGCAAGTTTTACTTTAAAAATAAAATCTTATGCAAATAGTGTATATGTCCTTTTAATTAAGATGCATATTTACATTCTGGTGGGTTTGATGTTTATACAATCTTTTCAACATACAGCACTAGCTATCACAGAATAAGAAAATTATTGGATACGTGTGTGTTTTATAAACTTTGTGAGTTTTTCAAATGTTTTAATTTTTTAATAGAACTTAAATAAAAATGTGTATATTGTCTGATTTCTTTTGTCCTCAGCAATAGCATATCATTCTCCACTTAAAAACGCTAAACTTCTAGGTTCCTAAAATGTTACAAACTTAGAGTTGAAGTGTACCCTTTACCCAGGAACCCAGTGTCTTGCATAACCACAGGAAATGATCACAGCCACGAAATTGATATTGGGTATAATATTAGTAACTAGACCACAGACCTTCCAGGTTTCACAAGTTTCTATACACTCTCATTTTACTTTTTGGCATACAGCACTATGACAGTATTGTCACATGTAGATTTGTATAGTCACCACTACAGTCAGCAAAGTGAACTGTTCCCCTTTTCAAACAACCCTCAGACACCAACCCCCGACAACCAATGATCTGTTTGTCGCTAGAATTCTGACATTTTGAGATGTTAATGTAAATGGAAACACAGAAAATAACGTCCTGAAATTGATTTTCACTTAGCATAATGTCCTTGAGTTCCATCTAAGTTATCAAGTATGTCAGTAGTTGCTCCCTTTATATCCCCCCTTGTTAGGAGTTAAATTTTAAATTGTTATTTCTGATGACTAATGAAAAAAGTCATCATTCCCTTGAGAGAGAAAGTTGTGCTGCTGAAGTTAAGATGATGCCATTGCCTTATTTCAAAGTTGGATATGTAAACTGGAAAAGAAAAACTTGAACCTCTTAACAGTCCAACCCAGCAGGGGTCTTCTGAGGTATCAACGATGAAACAACATCCCAGGTGAAGCAACATGGTGACTGAGCTGTTCCCTGGGGTCTGTGGCATTGCTCTTCAGTCTAAGTTAAGGCAAGTGGCTGTGATGCTTCCATAGGTCTCATTTTGGACTTGAGTTTTTTGAATAGATATAACAAGAACTGCTTGCAGATTTCATTGCTGTAAACTTCTAAGTAACAGAATTATTGACACCACTTTAAGTGAGCTCTTCAACTTTAGCCCTTGGTTCTTCACCCGAGCATTAAACATAGGTACAATTTATATTGCTTGTTGAAAAACCAGAGGATGTTAGTGCATTAACTGACAGACTCATTAATTAGACTGTTATCATGAGAATCCTGTAATTTACGCACCAAACAAGAACCTCTCTATCTCAACAATAAAAACAGAACCTGAGGCTTTTTAAGCAAAATCTAATTCCATCACTTCTGCTGTCTAAGACTGAAATTAGACTGCAGATTAATTCCACAGAACCTGCCTCTCCTGAATACAGGTCCAAAGAAAAAACTCACTGAAGCCCACTCTGAAAAATTTCTCTAATAAGAGTATTTCACTGTGGTGGTAAGTTATTTGTTGTTTGTGCTATAGTAGGGTTTAGTCATCTTGGGAAAATTGGATAAAAATACTTTGGAAATGATTGCCTCTCGAGTGACATTTTCTCAGAATTTCTTTTATTCAATCCCATAGCATACTGTTTACGGATACATGGGTGGTACTTCTCAAGTGGACTAAGAAAATGACAGAGCTCCTGTTACCCAGTTTCTGAGACAAAGACCCTTTCGTTCCATTCCGGGCAATTGACCCTATTCCCCACTGTCATCAAATATCTTCATTCAACCGCTGAGCCCTTCCCTGGCTGGGTTGTGCTCACTTGTCCTTCGCCTGCCTTGTGCTCTGCCTGTGCTAAGCCCCACAGAAGTGGGTGTAGGCACCTTACATGTAAGCCATGCCCTTTGCCAGCTGTAAAGGTGGGAGAAACAACCCGTCAGCAGGTCACACTATAGGAAACTGATGAAAAAAGCCACCAGTGATTCAGACTGAGGAGCCCTAGCATGTGATCAGGGTAGCGCCCATCTTCTTTAGGCCTATCACATGTTTAAGGGTGCTGTGGCAAGCCCTTCATAGACATTCATCCATCTAAGCCTCTTGGCTGACCCAGCTGGTGTCACCCACGCAGTTAAGAGAACATTCTTAGGGAAATAGCCACATAAGTTGCTACCAGAGATTGGCGTTTAAGTATAACTCCAGAGCTCAAGCTCTTATTAAGTCACTGCAAAATAAACATTCTGAGATCTATTCTGGAAGTATTTCCTGTAAGAACCGGATCTCAAGCTCAAGATGATTCTGAACACTATAGTCAGTGTTGTTCTCCACACTGCCCTGCCTTTTTTCTCCTGTGAAGGCCCCTTTCCCTTTCAGCCAAGACCAAAAACTTTTTCCTCCGTAGTCCTGAAGTAAGCACCACCAGCTATGTTAATGTTCAAAGATTTATAAATGTCAGTGATTTTACAATGTGGTATGAGCTACTGCATTGGGCTTCAGGAAATTAAAGGAACAAAAGGTTTTTCTGTGCCCTTGTTTTCTAGACATTACTCATGGGGGCAGAACCTTTCTGAACCTCCTAGATTAAATAAGAGGCCTTTATGTCTGCAAAATAAATGTAATGATAATGTCTTAGGTTGCAGGCTGCTTCATATTTTTCAAGTGTTTCCCCACAGATTTCCTCATAGGATTCTCACAACCAAAACCTCACTGAAGTGTGTATGGCAGGCATCATTAAAAAAATTTTTTTTTCCAGCTAAGAGACAGGCACTGTCAGGTAGACCGGAGTCAGGGTCCTACATTTAAAGTTAATATCAGCCTAGGTCCTTCCACAGCATCTAGCCCAGCAACAGCCACTCCCTTTTGCTCTTCCTTACCTCATCAGCACCATTCCCCCAACACCCCCATCCTTCAAAAGGTCTAGAGGGCACTGACTGAGAATGGGCACAGAGCTAAGTGCTGAACATCAGGTGATGAGCAAGACAAACTTGCTCAAAGGAAGGCAGTTTGATGAGAGACATGCGAACAATGAGGTCAGAGCTGATTAGTAGAATTGTGACATTCAGAGAAACTTGGTCTCACGAGATGGTGACACAGAGAAATTGAGACTGTCTCACAAGATGGTGACACTTCGCGAGAATCTTGCAGGAGCAATATAGGGAAGTGAAGGGAGTAAGTGATCTTTCTGATGGAGAGACCAGCTTGTTGGAAAGCACAGAAGGAATAGGTCTACAGCATTGGAGGAGGGCCTTGAGGGCAGGGTACCAAGATTGGAAAAGGAGAAAACACAAGTAAAAAGAAAGAACACTGAATGAGCTATCAGCTACCCTGTTAAAAACAATTGGGTTCTTCCCTTTGCTTTGCCTCAAATCTGTGACATTACACGAGTTACCTCCTCGTGTATCAACAGACCTCAGTTTATCTGTCCTGGAGGTGACAGTGCTAGACATGCATCTCTGGCATACTGTGATTATGTGCCCTGTGATCCAGAGCAGTGTAAGCAGTGGTTTACAAGCCCAAGGGAAAGGCTTCTGCAAGCAATAGTGATAGAGTTGGGCCTTGGAGGATTTTGAATGATTTCCACAGGCAGAGATGAGGACAAGGAGATCGCCCTACTTTATATAATTTTTAAAAGATTTATTTATTTATGCATATGAGAGCTGGGGTGTAGACCAGAGGTGTGGGGGGTTAGAGGATTCACTAGAGAGAATGGGGAGCAGAATAGGAGGATCTACTGAGGATCTGCAGAGGGGAACAGGGGGCTAGACAAGTCTGCTGTGCCCTGTGGGTTAGCTCCCTGGCCAGGAATCAAACTTGTGCTGCAGTGTCGGCGGGTAGCTTTATAATGCTGAGACTTGTACCATCAGGGAGCCTCTTTGTAAAAAAAAAAAAAATTTAAAACATTGAGGGACATTTGTCCAAAGTGGCACCAAGTGTTCTTTCCCCAGTTCTCTGTACTCACATGCTCTCCATGTCACAGGAATGACATGTTCCCTGTTTTTAGGCAGCTCAAAGTCTAGTGTGGAAGAAAAACATCAAACCCACAAAAGGGGGCTTTAGGGCTTGGAAGCCTGGGTGAGGCTCCCTGTCTCCTCTACGCTCCCCAAACCGGAACTGTCTGGGTCACAGAGAACATCCTCAGAGGAAATCCTGCTTTCCCACTTCCTGGCCAGAGGCTGAACTCCAGGAAAAGGATGGATTTGGGGAGAGCCCTGTGTCCTGCCTCTTCGTAGGAGGTTTGAGACCAGGTGGGCAAGAGGGATTAATTACACACACAGTGGAAAAGATGACATCAGGTGTCCGGCATGCCTGAGCTGCAGGCCCTCATCTTGCAAATGAGGCTGCTGCAGCCTAAAGAGGGACTTGCTGGATCCAGTTCACACAGCTTAGTGAGCACAGATCAGGCCCAGAACACAGGGCTGTAGTCTTCCAGACCATTATATGCTGTGGCAATGGAGTCAGAAAGTCAGCAAGCAAACCTAGACCCTCCATTCCCCCTTATGCTAGAAAGGGGAGGAAAGGTAGTGATGAGCATGTACATCCCAGCCTTCTTTGCTCATGTTGTTCCCTTTGCCTCTAAACACTCCTTAAGTTCGGGAGCCCCAGTGGCCTTCCAGTGCTGGTGTACAGGCTACCCCACCCATGTCCTCTCCCCAGCGGAATCCTTTTGGGAAGCGATATTTTCCTTCTCTGACTTGCCGTAACCTTCTCTCTGGTCCTCTTAGCCTCTGAACAAGCTGCTTGCATGTTGGTTATGTGCACCCATGGCTGGGAATTCCTGGAAGGCAGAACCATCTCAGACTCCTTGTCCAATGATGTTTAGTCATGAATGTTCCTCAAATGCATTTGTGCCTACATCTGTCACGTTTCACATGTGGGAGAATCGTTTATCCAAGAGGTACCAAATTCCTACTCACATGCTCTCACTTGGACCACACAACAGCCACATGAAGTAACAACAAAATCCTGAGATGATTCTTCGAGGTCTTTTAGACGATCACAAATGACCTATCATAGGGTCAGTAGGTTTGTTTGCTGCATCCTGGATCATTAGGATGGTGGGAAAAGCAATACTACATCTATTCTCTCATTTGATCATCACAGCA